ACGCAAAAACACACGCACGTGTGCACGCAAAAACACGCACGCGTACATGCAAAAACACACGCACGTGCGTACACGCAAAAACACACGCACGCGTGCACGCAAAAACACACGCACGCGTGCACGCAAAAACACACGCACGTGTGCACGCAAAAACACGCACGCGTACACGCAAAAATACACGCACGCGCGTACATGCAAAAACACGCGCACGCGTGTACACGCAAAAACATACGCACGCGTGCATGAGAGCACGACGGCAGATATATACACATGAACAAGCATGGACACACGCACGCACGCGCACGTAAACGTAAACCCACATGTATTTATAGTACACATACACATACGCACGCGCACACGAACGCACGCACACGCACGCACGCACGCACGCACACACACACACGCACACGCACACCCACACGCACACACGCACACACACACACACGCACGCAACCACATACACACGCACGCACGCACGCACGCATACACACACACNCTTTCTTGTATATATCTTTCTTGTATATATCACATATTGTATCATATCATGTATCTTTACACCGGTTTTTTAAACTCATGTTAGATATCGGTCTAAGAGCTGTCAGAGCTCATGTTCACATGTTATACACTATACCGATGAAAATAAAGCTTTATCTTATCTTATCTTATCTTATAAGCAAATATGGGAATTTCCAATAAAAGAATGCGTTTTTAATGTATTTACCACGATTTACGTATAGAAACTATATGTTATTTGTAATGATCTCTCCGTATCTTTCCTTGGAGTTTTTATCCTTTTTCAATGCCTTTCAGTAGATTTTTCTGCGTTTTCTGCGTGCTGATTATTTTGTGCAGGCACTCGATCATTTTGGAAATCCTCCAACATTTTTACTTTTTTCTTAGTTAAGTTAGTTCATGTTTCACTGTTATTTAGGAAGGAAGGTAAAACTGTGCATTCGTATAATTTCACTCTTGCTTCTATAGTATGATTTCCATAATTTTGCTCTTCTGCCCATAATAATATTTCCCTCATCATGAAATGTTGGAGGATTTCCAAAATGAGTGTCTGCACATAATTTAATCAGCACGCAAAAAAACGCAGAAAAATCTACTGAAAGGCATTGAAAGAGGATAAAAACTCCAAGGAAAGATACGGAGAAATCAGTACAAATAACAATATAGTTTCTATACGTAAATCGTGGTAAATACATTAAAAACGCATTATTTTATTGGAAATTCCCATATTTGCTTATAAAACATCCAAGAGATGGCGCTGTCGCATGTAAACATTAGCTGCAAATTAATTATTTGTGTACCTCATTTCGGGCCGAGTTCAGTAATTTTTAGGGCATTTCGGTGAATGTTTTTTTGACATTTCAGCTCCGGACTGCTTCTTCCGGTGGAATTTGATGTTCTCATAGCGCCTTTCGGTGTTTTAAGGTGCCTTGCGGTGCCTTTCAGTAATTAGATGGACCGAGTCCGCAGCAAATCAGAAACTTGCAATATCGAATTCGTAAAACCTAGTTTTACGTCAATAAACTAGGTTTTACGTCGATAAACTGGGTTTTACGGTCGTAAAACTAGGTTTTACGGCCGTAAAACTAGGTTTTACGTCCTAAAACCCGGTTTTACGTCGATAAACTAGGTTTTACGGTCGTAAAACCAGGTTTATCAAATTGAACTATCAATATCGGCCGATAAACTAGGTTTTACGTCCTAAAACCCAGTTTTACGTCGATAATAGTCTCGAACTTTATGTTTGCCAACATGCTAACCTGCGTATACTTGTGTTTTGTTCATATGGGCCACCGTACATATGGGCCACCCTGCCCCTGCATAAACGCCAAAACAGCCGAGCGCAAAGGTATAGTCAAGAATTACCCCACCTAAAGACACACAGGCGTGAGAATAAATTCATCAGAAATTCAAAGTCCTCGACTATCACCAGGGGAAACGCGTTAAACTTGAAAAAAGTCATAAACATGATAATCTCGTATTTTCAGAACATTTTATCAGGTTTTTTTTTTCATAATCTTCATACGCAAACTGCAATTGTATTGCAACGTATCGTAACCGTGTAATCGTATCGTAGCGGTGTTACTGTACAGCGATGTTGCGAGATCATTCCACTGCTCAGCGAACTCTGGCAAAAATGACATTTCACACAAAAATACTGACATCAGTCGTCGAGTAAGCCGCGACTGTAATCGCGTACGACACACAAACACAAATAGGATAATTGTGGTTTCATATCACCGGCTATTCAGAGAGGAAATCATGTGTCTTTCCACGCCACTACGTCCGGCAATATAACATTAAACACAAACCAAAAAGCAAAGAAACCTGGTGGACAAAACATCTACCGTACGTGCTTTCTGGCACGCGCGAACAATTAAGAATTTTACAATATCTAGACATCAATCCTCTCTGCTTATTATGTACGTATGTGTATGTATACGTTTAATTCTTTGGAAACTAGAGCTAAAAACGTCAACTCTAGCAGATTTAACTACCCTGTACATATATTTTGCACACAAATATAAATTGGGGTTTTCGTTCGCTTAATTTAAACGATACCGTTAGAAGTTTTTAAAAGAGCAAGTCACGGGAGTCAATGTGTGCCCACTTACACAATCCGCTTGCTTTTCATGCTACCCGTTACATCACAAATACCAAAGTACAATTTTACATGTGGAATGCGCGCAAAGAAACGTTCTTGCTCGTAGCAAACTCAATTCAGTTTACTTTTATTTCACGAACAGTGACACAAACGTTACTTTATTCCTGCAAATACACTGGAATTCGCACGCAATTGGGTATCACACACGATTTTCAAAACTGTTTACTGGACGTCATTTTGAATTATGATATTTCGAAAGGTTGCGTTACATTGAAACAGCAGTTCTGAATGTATGTATGCGGGATGCCTGCATGCATTTACGCACTCATGCAGCAGCAACACGCAGACCCAAGCAAAAGCATCGTAAATCACTGCTGAGCCTGCTGCATATTGAGAAAGGCTGGATTCTGCCGCACGTTTTGACGCATACCATGCAAGTCTTCAATCTCCTGCACATTGGGAGATGTTGCAGCATCCAGAGAGCGAGGCCAAGATTTCTGTATCAGTCAACTACTGAACAACTTCAACATGCATTTGAAGGATATGTAGTGGACTTGATTATTATAAGGATACCTACATATGCTTATACCAATAACGATCGAGGGAGGGCTGTAACGACTAGCCTTAGTACCGGTGGCCACCACCACCTCTTCCATAGCCACCACCTCCACCTCTATCTTCACCCCCTCCATATTGCTGAAAAGTTCCTCCTTGTCCGTGATGTGGTTGGTTGTAAACTCCTCCACCACCACCTCCTCCCCCCCGTCCTCCTCTGCCACCTCGACCTCCTCCACCTCTGTATCCACCTCCTTGGTCTCCCCTTCCACCACCTCCTCCACGGTAACCACCACCCCAGCCGCCACCACCTCCTCCTCGACCTCCACCTGCAAAACAATAGTGACCAATGAACACAGGGTGACTAGGATAAGCCATCGTTAGTTAGAATGAATCAAATGTGTGCTCAACATGGCAAACATGTAGTATTGAAATAATTCATTTAAGCCCGCCGCACACGCTGTGGAACTTCAACACTCAATTCGCATTGTTCTTGATTGTTTGCTTGGACACGGACCGTCGTTGAAGAGAGCGTTCACACGACGTTTGATCGATCAGTTCTTGGACATGACTTTATGCGAGCTGAGAAAAAAATACAATGCGTCCAAGCGAACAATCAAGCGAACAATGCGAATTGAGTGTGGAAATTTACACAGCCACTCCGCACACGCTGTTCAATCTTCCACACGTGGAAGAAAATATCAAACACGTGTGATATTTTCCACACGACGCAGATCGAGGAATTTTGCATCCGCACACGCTGTTCAATTTTCCACACGTGGACGAAAATATCAAACACGTATGATATTTTCCACACAACGCAGATCGAGGGATTTTGCATCCGCACACGCTGTGGAACTTGCTGCGCCATCGTCCACGTGGAAATAAGTTTCAAGACAAACACATTTAAGGACGCCAACTGCAACTTCATTTGAACGCAACACATGTTCGCAAGTACGCAAGTAAACAAGTTGGCAAAGCAACTAATTATCGAAGTAAATACAAGTTTCCTAAACGGAAATAGGTGGCAGCCATAGCGCCCTCCACCACCTCCCCCTCCCCCACAATCGAGATTTCGTTTTGCACCGCCCCTCCCCCCTCCCCCCCAACCAATTTCCGTTTTGCAACTTGCTGTGTGCTTGCGTACATGCGTACATGCGTGCTTGCGTGTTTGTGTTTTGTTCATATGAGCCACCGTAGGAAGGAGAGATAGAAAGAGAAAGCCACAGTGCGAGAGCGAGAGAAACAGACAGAGAGAGCGAGAGAAACAGACAGAGAGAGAGAGAGAAACAGAGAGAAAACATCGCTACAATAAATACACGTTATGCTTATCAATGCACTCACGGGCATTTAAAATCAACAATATTTTGCATTACATACGTATAGTATGTAATGTTGTCTTTTACCATTTTTCTCAGTAAAATAAAAAAGGTTCCTTACGAGGGATTTTGTTGAAATATACTGACTCTTACATAGAGTGGGGGAAGCATACGGTGGTGTGATAGCTACTTACCTTGTCCCCCCGCTTCCCGTTTCTTAAAGAATGGCATCTCTGCAGGGGGAGGTTGAGCTTCGTAAGGCCGCCCACCGCGATCAGGAACCTAAAAAAAAACCTGCACTTGACTCGTGTGCTTTTGCTATTTCTAGTGTCAGTCACCTGTGTCCAGGGAAGATTGTAGTAACACTCGTGGAGATAAGCAACAACATTAATGGTGCGCCCGGTCATATGAAACATTAAAATGAGATTTGATATGATTAATTGCTTCACCTTTTTAATTACATGATCAGCAGCTTCACTCACAATCACATATAGCATTGTGTGAAACCGTTATAGGTTACTAATAAATAATATTCACTGCAAAGAAATTTCATCAAAAATACTGTGACTGTAAAGAAATATGTATAAAAAGGTCAGCAATCTGGTAGCCATCCATGCGTCTGTGAAGATCGTGTCTCTAGGAGCTATTATCTCTCAAGCGTGGAAAACAAGTTTAGATAACCCACCTGTGGGCGTGGCTGCGGTATAAAAACATGAGAAAACATACTTAATAATGCAAAATGTGATAAAAACTATGGGTTTTCAAACCTTCAGCGTCGGGATGTTTGTCACATAGATGCATTGATCAAATAGGTGCACATGTCTAACAGAAGGCCTATGGAATTAAGTGCCAAAAGTCCACAAGTTGAAAAATTCAAAAAGTTTTTAATTGAATTGAAATATAGTTAGTTTTATTACAGGAAATCACTGTCAACGAAAATTACACTCAGTTATCTGTATAATGTACGTATCATAGAAATTTCAACGCTGATGCCACAGTAATACATTCTCAAGAACTTATAGACTCGCTGAATAAAACAACAACGACCACAACAACAACAGCCAATATCCTACACTTATATCCTCTCTAGCTATCGACGTTAACTAAAGAAATCGCTCAATATTTGCATAGAACATTGTTCCTGTGTCGTTTTGTTGCATTCACACCTAATTTCATATAGTGATGATATTGCTTCAAATTACGAGTTTGCTGATTTCACGAGCAAGACCTTTAAGCAAGCCAAGTACGTTTAGTGTCAACTCAGTATGCTTAGGGTTAAGACCGGCTTTAGTGAAGCGCAGCGTGCCAGCGAGAACCCGAACAACATTCGTGCACATCATCAGTACATTTTTTAGATGTGTGTGAACTGCGCTGGTGTGCTTGTATCTACTCTAACCAGCTGTTTGAATAAACAAACACACGACCATACGAATATACCGCGGCGCTTCGCTAGTGTTGTATCGTGAAAAGAGTGATAGCTTCAGGTTCTCGTGGAATCGTGGATCGTGGCATCGTAGCATAGAACCGTGGCAGGTGTGCGTTCATGTCAATGTTTGGAGAGTGCATGAGATCTTGCAGCAGTCGTAGGGATGTAGAGCGAGACTTGTTAGATACGGTATATAATGATGGTGACTTTATTAGTAACTTGACACAATATAAATTATATATACATACATACTACATCCTAGGTTACGTCCATATTGGTTAATAGTCCCGCCTGCGAATTTTTTTTCCCTAACCAACATATCCAGTCGAAGAATCTGATTGGTTGTGATTGGTTCATCCTGTCTCCTGATTGGTTCAAAAACACATGTGCTGGCTTATTTAGCAGATGTCATGTGCTATTTCTCATGAAGTCTTTCTGGCGTAATGGATAGCACACCAGCTTTATGTCTGAAAGGTCGGTGGTTCGAATCATCCCGTTTGCTTTTTAATTACTTTTTTTGTTTCTGTATTTTTCTATCTTTATCCATTATAACTATTGTTTTCTAACGGAAATATTTGCATGATTGATTTACAACAATTAAATATTTTAATGAATTTTAACGAATTATTTTTTTTTTAATAATTGAATTTCATTTATTAGTCTTAATTAAATTTAA